CTCTCTCTACCCAGTTTTAACAGATGACTTTTCTCTCTTTTTCCTCAGATTCCTTTTTACGAAGATATTTGTAAAGGCATTAAAGCTGGTGACACCTGTGAGAAGCTGGTGGGGTATTCAGCAGTGTACAGAGTCTGTTTTGGAATGGCCTGTTTCTTCTTCATCTTCTGCCTCCTGACCTTGAAAATCAACAGCAGCAAAGGGTGTAGAGCCCACATTCACAATGGGTAAGTCTTTGGTCTTCAGGGGTGGGGGTGGGCAGTTTGCCCTTTCCTGATATTTAGAACACTGTTCCTTCATCTCTTGTACTCATCAGACTGTCTAACTGCTCTTCCTCTAGTTGACATTGTTGACTCTGACTTTAGGGAAGGTGGGACTTGTCACCCCTCGGTGGCCTACACCCCTCGGTGGCCTAAGACCTAGAATCCTGTTTGTAACACTTAGTACCGCGATGAGAGTTGCAACAGAGACAAGAGTTTTTATTTCTTGTTAAGACCCGTCCCTACATCATCCCCCCACCCCAACAAAGTGGCGTTTTGTACAGAGGCCACGCTGAGTTGGTCTAATTATGGGAAAAGGCAGTTTCCAGTCACTTAATTACTCCACCTCGATTTGGAAGGAACAGTACCAACAGCAGAAACACGGGCTGATGTGCTTACCTTCTAAGAGCTCTTTTGTCCTTCCATGAATATCATTTAAATACATTTCCTCTTTTTTTTTATTTTTTTCCTTCCAGCTTTTGGTTCTTTAAACTTCTGCTGCTGGGGGCCATGTGCTCAGGAGCTTTCTTCATTCCAGATCAGGAGACCTTTCTGAATGGTACAAATGGGGTATTTGGGGTACCTGTTTATTTTGTTCTTACCCATTTTGTAAAATTGTTGCAAACTGTAGTCCAGGGTGCCTTTGATATTTGGATTAGTGATTTCTTGTGGTTTAATAAAAAAATTCCCTTCTTACCTGCCCACACTTCATCCACCGGCTCCTCTCCCTCTCCCCTCCTCTCCCCCCTCCCCCACTTCTTGATCTCTCCCCTATTCCCTCTCTTTCTGGCTGGGTGTTACCCTGCAGCCTGGAGAATTCAAATGGTAACTTTAAGGCTATTGGCCTGAAGGGAAAATGGGGCACTTAAAATTTGTTTGAAAACCAGTTTAGCATGTCAGTGTGACACCATCAGCCATGTTTGAATAGGCCCAGGGAGGCCTTGCTCTTTCCCAGCACTGCCCAGGAACTCCACCTACACCCGAAACCAACACCGGGTTTTTGAGCAGCTTCAAATCTGCGTGCAGCTAAAGTGAGATCGAGAGGCTTATCTTACTTGTCTAAACTTATCTTACGTGAAACTATACCATTGAATTATGTTTCTTTTTCACCAAATTTACCAAAATTAATTTAATTTGAAGCCTTTAATCATATCTGAAACGGGGGCCTTTTTTCATAAGAGCCAGGGAGGGAAAAAAGCCTGAATTTCAGTGGCTCAAAACATTGTTTTAACCCAAATGAATTCATTTTTCTAGTTCAGGTAGTAAAAACATTCACGCTGTGTCGGTCCATAACGAGCAGCCCACAGTTCCTCAAATGGTCACTAGGGTCCAGCTAATATTTAGGGTCATACTAGTTTTTTTTTTTTTTTTTTAAAGATTTTATTTATTTGACAGAGAGGGAGAGAGAGAGAGGGCACAAGCAGGGGGAGCAGCAGGCAGAGGGAGAAGCAGGCTCTTCACTGAGCTGGGAGCCTGAGACGTTGGACTTGATCCCAGGACCCTGAGATTGTGACCTGAGCCAAAGGCAGACACTTAATCAACTGAGCCACCCAGGCACCCCTACGGTCATACTAGTTTTATGTAGTCCTTAAGGGAGTTATATCTAAGTCTTGGTTTTTCCCAAAATGCTGTTAACTAGCTTTCTGTTCCCCACAGATATACTTTTATGTATGAAAACGGTAGATTTAGGGGGCGCCTGGGTGGCTCAGTCGTTAAGCATCTGCCTTTGGCTCAGGTCATGATCCCAGGGTCCTGGGATGGAGCCCCACATCTGGCTCCCTGCTCAGCGGGAAGCCTGCTTCTCCCTCTCCCACTCCCCCTGCTGGTGTTCCCTCTCCTGCTGTGTCTCTCTCTGTCAAATAAATGAAATTTAAAAAAAGGAAAGAAAATGGTAGATTTAGGATGGGAAGGGGCCTAGCAGTCCTCTAGTGCATCTTAGTCATTTTTATAGACAAGCTGTAACCCAGAGGAGTGACATGGCTCTTTCAAAGTTAGAGCTTCCTTGTGGTAGAGAAGTGGATCTGAGTTGCTTGGCCCCCAATGTGAACCTCATTTCCCTAGTAGTCTCTGGTGGCTCCCTAGACAATACAATCTGAACCTTTTTCCCTCTTAATATGTGTTTTTACTTTTAAATTGTGGGTCATTGTTGATTCTGTGAATGGCTGCATCTGTTAGGCTGCCTGGCAGGTACAGTGTGGAGGTTAAGCTCAGGTGCTCCCAAGCCACACTCCTTGTGCTCACATCCCAGCTACGTCCTTTACTGGCTATGGGACTTTGTTCCATTTACATAGATTCTCAATTTTTCTCATCTGTAAAGTGGGCATAATAGTGGCACCCATCCTATGGGATTGGCTGGAAATTGAATGTGTTGCAGGTACACTAAGAATTCATTAAGATGAATTATAGCCATTATTCTCCTTTGAGCTCAACACTGGAACAATCATCTCATCTCCTTTTGGATGGTCTTCTTTTGCAGCCTGGCGCTATGTGGGAGCCATTGGGGGCTTCATCTTTATAGGCATCCAGCTCATCCTGCTCGTGGAGTTTGCACATAAATGGAACAAGAACTGGTATGTGCATTTTGGGAAAGTTTTCAAGTGAACTCACCCGGTGCTCAGAGAAACTGCCCGCAGGATGGTGTTGATAGAAGCTCGACTCCGAGTTGGCCTGGCCGGGATCAGCGGCCTGCTCACGCCTCAGACAGCTTGCCGGCACTTTCCCTGCACTCCTGCTCTTTGAACCTTTTCATTCACTCCTCTCCCATGCTGTTTTTCTCTCCTTTCTACCTTTCCTTCTTCCATTTCGTTTCTCTTCACTTTTTGGCTTTTTCCCATGCTGTCTCGTTTGGGCTCTGAGTCGGCTGCTGTTGTGATTTAGCCACACGCAGACCCATTGCTGGCACTTCTCGGCCCTGGCTCCCTGGTTGGGATGGTGGGTGCCTGAAAACTTGGGCAGGCTTTATCGTAGGCTTCCATCCTTAGGAGATTTAAAGAAAGAAAACACTTTGGAGCTGAAAATACACTTCCTGCAAAGAATATGTGATAGGATAGTTCTTTACTTAAATTTTTATTGGTTCCTAGTCAACCTGCCTAAGAGTATAAGGACCCCTTCATTAGGAAGGTCTCTTGTGCTACCTTAGAGAGCCATCCTGAATTTAAAGATACACAGTCTTTCTAACTGCCTTGAACATGGAATTCACATCCTAGGATAAGTGGGAAATGCCAAATATTAATAGCTACTTTTATTTCTATTTATTTTGTTGCTGAGCCACATCAAGGGAAGGGCAACTAGATGAGAGTCAGCCCCTTAAATGCTAAGGCCGGGTGGGCTCTCTTTGTGACTCCAGGCAAGGCACTTTGCTGTTTGCTGTCCTACTTTGCGTATAAAATATGAATGAAGGGGCGCCGGGGTAGCTCAGTCGGTTAAGCATCTGACTTCGGCTTAGGTCCTGGGACGGAGTGCATGAGCATCAGGTTCCCTGCTCAGCAGGGAGTCTGCTTCTCCTTCTCCCCCTGCCCTGTGTGCAGCTCCCCGCCTTGTGCTCTGTCTCAAATAAATAAATGAGATCTTTTAAAAATATATGAATGAAAATACCTATTGTACCTAGTAAAGATTTTTGTTATTTTGTAGACTTTATATGTATCATGTTATATTATACTGTTTTGGAAAAAAAATCAGAAATAATGTATGAATTTGAAATTTTTTTTTATCTTGGACAAAACAAAATATATGGTCCAAATTCTTTGAAAATACTTTTTTTTAAGATTTTTAAAAATATATTTGACAAAGAGAGAGCCCAAGCAGGGAGAGTGGCAGAGGGAGAGGGAGAAACAGGCTCCCTGCTGGGAGGACCCCTTGAAAATACTTCTCATTCTTTTCATTCTGATTACATTCCTCAGCTTGGTAGTAGTAGTAGTTTCATTTGGGTTTTGGTTTTGTTTCTTTAGAGAACAAATCAAGAGGTGTGTGAGTGAAAGGCTAGTGTTATCGTTTTATAATTGGTAAATATTGGAGTAAGTACCCAAATACTTAGAGTCAGTTTTTAAAATGTTTACAGCACATTGTAGAGTCACATAGGTAGCACTACAGAAATTTATTTTGTCTAATAAAAAATCATCTTAAGTTCTAAAATTTTCACATGTATACTTCAAAACAGGGAATTTTTAAAATAATGACATCTTCAGTACTGAGTGCTTGATTTGCCCATTAAGTAGTATGTTCTCTTGAGAATACTTGTACTTCTTCAGCTCTGATTTGATTGTTTTGATTGATTCTGAAGCCATTTTCTGGGACTAATTGTTGATGCCAAGTTTTAACAGGCATTTTGGAAGAGTTTGGTGGCTATAAAAACCTTCCAGAAACCACTCAATAAGAGCGGCTTAAGAGCTTTGCAACAAATGATGTTGTTGTTGTCTCAGCGTTGAGGCTAATATCCCAACAAAATCCCTTTTGTCAACATATTCATAGTTGATTTGTCTGCCTAAAATTAGGATTAAGCTAGGAAGCTCACTAATAATGTACTTTCAGGTAAATTAACTTACTAGTTTTTTTGGGGGGGCATCTTTTTTTAACAAAGACTGTTGCTTCCAAGGTTAGTCTAGAAAATATAATACATCACTCCTAATGGAACAACCAAAGTACTTTTTCTTCCCCTTTCTTCTCTGTTTTCTCTCTTCTCTTTTCTTAAGATTTTCTTTATTTGTCAGAGAGAGATAGCACAAGTAGACAGAGCGGCAGGCAGAGGGCGAGGGAGAAGCAGGCTCCCCGCTGAGCAAGGAGCCCAGTGTGGGACTCGATCCCAAGACTCTGGGATCAAGACCTGAGCCAAAGGCAGACGCTTAACTGACTGAGCCACCCAAGCATCCCTGTTTTCTCTTTTCAGTAAACATCTTGAGAAGGAAAAGATCCCAATGGTAGTAGGACGGAGGCCCTGGGCCCAGAAACCAGGAGGCTCCGGGTGTTCATGTCCCTGCTTCTCTAGTTTACAGTTTTCTTTTAGGCATATTACTTGGCCTCTCTGACCTCACTTTTCACACCTGCAAAATAATATGGTTGCATTAGATGTTTAACGTGTTTTTTTCTTTCTACCTTGAATTTTGTGATTTGAAGTGACAACTCTTAAAAATGAAATAGCAAAAAGTAGAAGGTACATTCTGGTGTTTCTCACAAAGACCCATCTTCTAAATGTGCTAGATTTGTAATTTCCATTGTGGTTGGGTTCTCCTGAATCCTGAGCCCAAGTGCAGCTGACTCCCAACCCGGCTCCTGCTTACTGGGTTGGTGCTCTGCCCATTGTCTAACCCTTTTCTCATCTCCTTCCAAGTGCTTCTTCCCATTTAGCATTTATTTACATTCTGGGGGAGTATTAAGTGTGTGCCAGACGGTGTGGTGGTAGGCACCGAGAGTATAAAGAAAAATAAATCATGGCTAAGTGCCACCTAAGTGGTGGGACGTCTGCAAGAGCAAGCTGTCACCGAGGAGGAAGCCACGGGAATGGCAGCCATTTTGCTACCATTGCTGCACAAAGTTAGTTTTAACCACTGACAGTCCTCGCAGCAATATTCATTAGGCACATACTATCTTCCAGGCACTCAACGGCAGGAGAAGAGTAGTGAACACAGTGATGTCCTGCTCGGTGGAGCTTACCTTCTCCTTTTGGGGAGGGCAGGGAGCATGGGTAGATCATCAGTTTATGATCAAGCAAATAAGTAACAGGCTTGATGGTGAAACGACTGGAGGAAAAGAAAGCAGGGTGTGGGCTTTGGGGAGAGCAGGGCAGGGAAAGGCTTCACGATCAGGTGTGAGGGAGTTAACTGTGACCAGAAGGAAGAGGGACAGATGGAGGCAGGACTCCGCTTGTTGAGGGGCAAACGGGCATCCTCTGTGCTGCACCCCAGTGCTGAGGGGTGGGCACCAGAGGAGAGAGAGGAGATGGCATTGGGTCAGATCATGGTGGGCTTCTGGGGCCGTTGTGTGAGATGGAAGGGCATCACTGGGGTTTGAAACTAGAAGAACATGATAGGATGTATATTTTAATTATAGAATAGATGAGAGGGGGAGAGAGTTGCAAGCAAGGAGACCTGTGGGAGATAATCCAGGTGAAAGATGACTGTAACTCGAACGATGATAGCAGCAGTTAGGTTCTGGCATGTTCCAGAGTTGGAACTCGTAGACTTCACTGATGGTGATGAGGACGTGGGCGGGGGGGGGGGGGGGGGGGAGAGCCAGGAGAGAAAAATTGCAGTCAGGAGTTGTTTTCTTTTTGTAAAAACTCCTCTTCTCAGGACACCTGGGTGGCTCAGTTGGTTCAGCGTCTGACTCGTGGTTTCAGCTCCGGTCATGATCTCAGGGTCGTGGGATCAAACCTCACCTTGGGCTCTGCACCCAGGGCAGACTCTGCTTGTCCCTCTCCCTCTGCTCCTCCCCCTGCTTGCGTGTGTTCTCTCTCTCTCTCTCTTTCTCAAATAAATAAATAAAATCTTAAAAAAGAGAGAGAAAGAAAGTGCTTCATATGCTAACAAGAGCCCAAAAGACCAGTGGAGAAACAGTCACACCCCACCCACACTGGTCAGCCGTGTTCACCTTTTCCTACACGATGCGTTCTGTTTCTCTGTCATTGATTACCATTTGGCTTTCAGAAATTTTTTTTTTTTTTCATTTCTCGAGTCTCATTTTCTGTCATTTCCTTTGCGTGCCTTTTACGTTAGACTAATTCTGTGGTCATGGAGTGCCTGGCTTGGTTTCAGGAATATGAGGATCATTATCATTTCTGTCTTTCCTCCCTGTTTGTCTCTGCCTGCAATAACTTTTTCACAATTAAAACATTTTAGCTGAGTTGCCTGAATACTTTCCAGTTTTGTGAAAACATTAAGCAAGTTGCTTTCTCTGTGAAGGTTTGTTAGAATGTGGTTACAGTGGGGCCGTTTAATCATAAGGCAGATGACAGTGATTCACTCCGTGCTCCCTCTGGTTCTGTCCTCTTTGTTTAGTGGTTTCAAACATTCTTTTTTGTTGTTGTTCTGAATAATTTCGGTTGGTTGTTAAACCACCACTTATTTCTCCCATCCCTTTATTAATAAGTATATAAAGTAGAAAGCAAATTACTCTCTTTAAGTTTCTTATTATAAATCCTGTTACAGTTTTTACTCATTGCCCAGCTGATTTTATTCTCTTTACACTCTCCCTCCATCCCACGTGGCATTGTTCTGGAGAAGCAGTGTACCACTGAGGACGCCCCTTTGCCGTGGACGGACGAAGGGGCTGCGGTCCGCCAGTGTCTCTCTGAGTGAAGGTCGCTTGCTGCTTCTCTCCCCAAAGAGAAGCTGCGGCAGCACCTCTGGTAGGATGCAGTGGCACGTCCGGGCTCTGTGTTGAGCAGGAAAACGTGAAGAGAACCCCATCTAAGAGCCATTTTTTTTTTTTTTTAAGACTTGCCAAAGCTGACCCCAGGGTAATTCCTATTCAGAATGGGGAGAGTAGAGTCAAGTCTGTGGATGTGCATTTTAGTTGATGCGTACACATAAAAACAGAATGGTTTAGTGTTTAGAAAACATTCTGAGCCTGAACCAGAGCTGTTCAGCATATTTTACGTGTACCTTCTGGCTTCGCTGGAGCATGATGGTGGCAAAAGGGTAGGTCTTGTGGACGACTGGGTTTCTAATGGCCTGGGGCCTGAGAGCCCCGTGAATGCCTGAGGGGTGGTAAATGTGGTCAGGGAATGGGGGCTTTGTTGACTTGTCTTCTCTCCTCTCCCTCTTACCCGCTTGTGGAGAAACAGGACTGCAGGCACGGCCACCAACAAGCTGTGGTACGCCGCTCTGGCCCTCGTGACACTCATCATGTACTCCATTGCTGCCGGAGGCCTGATTCTGATGGCGGTGTTTTATACACAGAAGGACGGCTGCCTGGAAAACAAAATTCTCCTGGGGCTGAACGGGGGCCTGTGTCTGCTCATTTCAGTGGTGGCCATCTCACCGTGCGTCCAAAATCGTAAGCACGTCTTTCCCCCTTCCTCCTTATTTATGTTTTGTTGTGTGTAAATTTGAGCAAAGCCTCGTGTTTTCAGTTGTGTTTTTAGATTATGGTCTTTCCTTAATTTACCATGCATGGGTCGTCCGTAGGAAGGGTGGGACTGCAGTCTCCTCTTCAAATCCCATACTTGGGCAGAATGTGATCGTTGGCACGCCTCAGGTCAAGAAAGATCGGAACATAGTGAAGTCAGTAAATAGGAAGACAGATGTTACCATTATTATTTTTTTTTAAAGATTTTATTTATTTATTAGAGGGAGAGACAGGGATAGTGACAGAGCGTACAGCACAAGCAGGTTAGAGAGGGAGAAGCGGGTTCCCAGCTGAGCAGGGAGCCCAATGTGGGGCTTGATCCCAGGACCCTGGGATCATGATCTGAGCTAAAGGTAGACACTTAACCGACTGAGCCACCCGCGCCCCAGATGTTACCATTATTAAATAATGTACTACAAGGAGCCTTTAAGTGGAAGATGCCTTGAGTGTATATTAATAACTATAATCCCTGTGTAAAACTTGAATGAGAAGGCTCCAGAAGGAGCTCTTTCTGGGCTCATCTTTCACCCAAGGCCTCTGGGTCAGAAATCGGGAGCCATGTGGTCTAGGAGTCAGGAAGCAGGAAATCCAATCTGGCTGAGCCAGTAGCTGGCCCCACGAGCTAACCTTCCTCAGACCTCAGTCCTTTCTCAGCAAAGCCAACAGAAATCTGTAAACCTTCCTGGCTCAAGGCTGTTTCAAAGGCAAATAGAAGAGGGGTGCCCGGCTGGCTCAGTCAGTAGAGCATGTGACTCCTGATCTTGGTCATGAATTCGAGCCTCACGTTGGGCATAGAGATTACTTAAAAACAAACAAAAACCCACAGAGGCAAAAAGGAAGGGATAATGGGATTTGAAAGTGCTTTAGAAAGTACAGGCCTGACTTATCTTTTATAAACAACTTCTGATGTCTTAAGCCAGAATAACATCTTTGGCTACAGAAAGAAGTTGTCAGGGGCGCCTGGGTGGCTCAGTCGTTAAGTGTCTGCCTTCGGCTCAGGTCATGATCCCAGGGTCCTGGAATCGAGGCCCCGCATCGGGCTCCCTGCTCAGCAGGGAGCCTGCTTCTCTCTCTCCCACTCCCCCTGCTTGTGTTCTCTCTCTCGCTGTGTCTCTTTGTCAAATAAATAAATAAAATCTTTTAAAAATAATAAAATAGTTGTAATATTTTGAAATATTTGGTTTAATGCCATTAGTTGCTAAAGTGAGTCTTATTCCCATGCCAAAGAGCAACATTATAAAAGACTATTTCTGTACCTTTATTGGTTAGTACAATTTATTTTATTTTTATTTATTTAATTTTTTAAAGATTTTATTTATTTGAGAGAGAGAAGGCTGAGCATGAGTGGGCGGCAGAGGCAGAGGGAGAGGGAGAAGCAGACTCCCCGCTGAGCAGGGAGCCCAATGTGGGGCTTGATCCCAGGACCCTGAGATAATGACCTGGGCCAAAGGCAGAGGCTTAACTGACTGAGCCACCCAGGCTCCCCTGGTCAGTACAGTTTAGTAATTAAAACTTGAAACAAATTTAATCAGAGGGAAGACTGGATGAACTAATAAATCCTTTCATGTAGGGAGGTGGTTAAAAATTCCACCAAAAAATGATAAATCCTTTTTGTCATATCCTGGTTACTCTGAATGATTGAAACAGTTTAATTTAAATATTATAACATATTAAAGCTCTTCCCTCAATGAATGCTGAGCGCCAGTGCCGCCTTCTTTACCTGAATTGGTATTCCCAAAGGTGGTTTTTTTTTGGGGGGGGTTTGTTTGTTTGTTTTTGTCTATTGACAGGTCGAGCTTTTTTCCACTGTCATGGACTTTAAGTGTCTGATGGCTTTGTAGAATCTGGAATCCATGCCCTAGGAAATCTGTCTCCCATTTACCTCACTAAGCTATGTAGGTCTCACAAATAATGATGGTGAATTTTCTTCTGAGGTCTTAAGATTTAAGAGCTCGTGTTAATGACCCTCAGGAGGACTAAGCAGTATGTTTAAGTACAGTTGTTATTAAAACAAATTTTTTTTTAGGATTTTATTTATTTATTTGACAGAGACCCAGTGAGAGAGGGAACACAAGCAAGGGGAGTGGGAGAGGGAGAAGCAGCCTCCCCACTGAGCAGGGAGCCCGATGCGGGGCTTGATCCCAGGACCCTGGGATCATGATCTGAGCTGAAGGCAGACTCTTAACGACTCAGCCGCCTAGGCGCCCCTAAGTATAGTTGTTATGAAAATAACATGGTGGTAGAGCCCTCAGCAGAACCTGGCATCTCTAAAATAACATAGTTAGGCTTGGTGTATAATTCCATCCACTTCCCTGTCTTTTTAGTGTTGTTTGGAAAATGTGATATTGACCTCTTCTTCCCTTTAAAGATGGGGGTCCAAGTTTGAAGAGTATCATTTGGGGATGGGGACCTATTTTTTTTAGACTTTCTTATTTTTGAAATTTAGAACTCTGTGTTAAAATCTGTCACTTTGATTTTCTAGGACAGCCCCATTCTGGGTTGCTACAGTCAGGGCTCATAAGCTGCTACGTGATGTATCTCACTTTCTCAGCGCTGTCCAGCAAACCCGTAGAAGTAGGTAAGCCAGCCTGCCTTCTTAGGGAGCGTGGGTTTGAATATTTTCATTGTAGAGGAAGGAATATGTCTCTACTGAGCTGTTGATTAGGATGTCAAAGATGTAATAATTCAAAATAGATGATCTAGATTTTTCACTGAATAATGTCCTTAACGTGGGATACGAAAATGAAAATTTCTTCTTCTGAGTCTTCCCGCTGTGTGGGAAAGACAGGAACAAAGATGGGCTGTTGAGTATGCTTTGGGGCTAATCTGCATTTTCCTGCTCTGTGTTTTCAAGGAACATTATTGTGTTTTGCTTATTTTGCGTTGTCTTTTTCGTTGGTTACTAATTTCCTTTTCTTCAGGTGGTCATCTCTCTGACTGTAAGAGAGGGTGGGAGGAACGTGGAAGTGGGAAGCGTGGGAAGCAGGAGACAGGATTTGAGCCCAGCTCTAACGTTGGCTAACTGTGTGACCTTGAACTGCTCTTCTTAAATGTTTATTTACAGAGACAACACAACATGTGTGAGCTTGGGAGTCAGACCGCCTGTGTTTATAGCTTGGTTCTGCCACTCCATTAACTTGTAGAAGGTTATTTACCTCTCTCTGCCTAGATACCTTGTCTTTAAAATAAGGATTTTAATTATTATTCTAACAAGGTAATTAAGTAAGATCCCTATTTTATAGGGTGGTTTTTAAAGAATTCAATGAGTGTGTGTGTGTGTGTGTGTGTGTGTGTGTGTGTGTGTGTGTGTATGTATGTTCCTGGCATGTCGTAGGTACTCTATAAGGGTTAGCTATTGTTACTGTAGTGGTTGTAATGATTGAGAACTATAAGAGCCCTATTATATTATACATTGTTATTATCTGAGCCCCTTGCCAGTAAAAGACCAAAAGACCATTTCTTATTTTGATTTCTGAACCCATTATATTTCATCATCTATATCACTTTTGTGATATATAAATGTGTATATAAATGTATACACACATATATACACATTAAGTATATATGAATGTATGTATGTTTGGGTACATTTGATCTTGTATAAATCAAGTTAAATAAATGTGCTATCTTTTCTCTAGAATAGAAAATTGAAGTTGTTTTCCTTTTTTAAATGTAGAAAGTAAATGCAAAGATAATTTTGAAGGTTTTATATACATGTATTGTGTGTATGAGTCTTGTCTTTATAGCTATTTATAGGGCAAAGTGATCTAATTGTAGGTCTTATATTAAGTACAGTCTATCCTGGATTTAATTTTTTTTTTTTTTAAATAGCTCTGTCTTGACTCTAAGTTTATTTAGGTCTAGTTTCTTTAAGACTTTCTTTTACGACTATTAATTTTTGGTTTTAATGTAATGAGGTTTTTGGTTACAGTGTTTTTCTCTTAAATGGCAGGGATCACTTACAAATAGAAGACTTCCTTTTAATTTCAGGTGATACTACTTAAATAGAAAAGTTCATATTTTGGTCAGTTAAAAAGATTTTTTTTTCATTGGCCTAAGAATAGAGATTCCTTACACCACAGCACACACAACTATTTTTGCTATCTCAAATGTGAGTGCCAGTAATAATTGTAGTCTATCTTCTAATACTTAGAATGTGCATGTTTGTAAAATGGGCTTTATTTTTATTTATTTATTTAGGGAGGGGGAGAGGGAAAAGGAGAGAGAATCCCAAGCAGGTTCCACGCCCAGCATGGAGCCTGGTGTCAAGCTTGATCTCACAACCTGGAGATCATGACGTGAGCCAAAATCAAGAGTCGGATGCTTAACCAACTGAGCCACCCAGGCACCCCACCTCTTGAAAGTTTTAAGAAATCTAGAAAACATCAGGATATTCCCAGGTCACACACTATTTTTTTTTAAACCTTTTTTCTTTTTTTTTAAGAGATTTCATTTTTAGGTAATCTCTACACCCAACGTGGGGCTTGAACTCACAACTCTTGAGAACAAGAGTTGCATTCTCCTTTGACTGAGCCAGCCAGGCTCCCCAGGATGTGTTTGTGATTAGTACTTACTTTTATTTTTTTAAAAGTGGGCTCCACACCCAATGTGGGGCTTGACCTCATGACCCTGAGAGATCAAGAGTCACTTGTTCTACCGACTGAGCCAGCCAGGTGACTGACCCACACACACTATTTTTTCCTACCACCTTTGCACAGGTAATTTTATTCTCTCCTGTGGGTTGTCAGCAATGTTCATAGACTGTAATTTGAAACACTCAGAAAGTACATACCTGAGTATTGTCACATTTTTTTACATCATGATTCAGTAATTATTAACCAGTTATACCTATTAGACACAGTGGACAAAATGATGCATCTGTACTGTTCCCTTGTAAACAGGGCTTTTGTGCACAATAGTAACAGATGGAATTAATGCATACTACAGTATCATTGAGGAAAGAACTTCTCTTTAACTCTTCTATTTATAAATAAACTGATGTTTTTTAGCACTGTAGATTTAGTACATTTACAGACCTGATCAACAAAAAGAAACAGGACATATATGTTTTTTAAAAGAAAATGTAGAGGGGTGGTGCCTGGCTGGTTCAGTTGGTAGAGCATGTGACTCTTGATCTCGGGGTTGTGAGTTCAAGCCCTGTGTTAGATATAGAAATTACTTAAAAGTAAATTTTTTTTTTAAGATTTTTATTTACTTGTTTGAGAGAGAGAGTGAGGAGAGAGAGAAAACATGAGCTGAGGGGGGTGAGGGGAGGGAGAAGCAGACTCCCCAGCTGAGCAGGGAGCCTGATGTGGGGCTCAATCCTGGGACTCCAGGATCATGACCTGAGTCGAAGGCAGACGCTTAACTAACTGAGCCACCCAGGCATCCCCTTAAAAATAAAATCTTAAAAAAAGAAAAAAAGAAAGAAAGAAAGTGTAGAGAAAGGGACCATTATGGAAGACCCTTCCTGGGAAAGGAGGTAAGAAGTAAGCAAAGGATAATAGCATCACGACCACCCTATTACTGACAGTAAAGGGACTTCGCGTGTGGGTGGAGGCTTTGGACTAGGTGGCTCTTGCACAGCCAGTACGTATTTGGTTGTTGAGTAGCCTCGACACACTTCCAGAGAGGATAGACACGGTGGAAACTCAAGAATGTCTGCATACTACCTCTGTTTAGAGCCTGCTAAGTCAACTGAAAAATAGATAAGAGTTTTACTTTTTACTAGTGTCAGAAGAGTACTGAAAAGAGCGAGACTCTTACTGTATCATGGCACAGAGGAACCCTTTGGCACTCAGTTGGAATCTGAGGGTCTTGTTCGAAGAGGCTGCTTAGGTGGGAGGGGTGCTTTTTTTTTTAAAGATTTTATTTATTTATTTGATAGAAGAGTGCACACAAGCAGGGGCAGCGGCAGGCAGAGGGAGAGGGAGAAGCAGGAGCCTGATGCGGGACTTGATCCCAGGACGCTGGGATCATGACCTGAGCCCGAAGGCCAACTGAGCCACCCAGGCGCCCCAGGGGGTACTTTGAAATAGCAGCAATCTAGTCTGACTTCAGTGGCACTGTAGAGTAGGAGTTTCCAATAATAAGCCTTCACTCTTCTAAGCTACCTGAATTTTCCCCAAATGAATGTCAGCTACAACAGGCTTCTCTAATTAACTGTGATTACTTTGTCTTTTCCTTGTAAGCTCTAGATGAGCATGGGAAGAATGTGACGATCTGTGTGCCAGACTTTGGTCAGGACCTGTACAGAGATGAAAACTTGGTTACTGGACTAGGTACCACTCTCTTGTTCATGTGCATCTTATATTCATGGTAAGTCTTAGGAGATACTTGAGGCCACCTTTGCAGACTTTAAAAGTACGGAGGAAATTTTAAGAAAGCTTTAGCAACAGCGAGACAGCAAAACAAATCCCACCTGAGGAAGAGGGAAAGTAGCTTGAAGGAAGAAGTATGTGTCACAGCATCGAACCTCAGTGTTCGGACTTCATTTTCCTTACTTGTATTTATATGGGTGACTATAATAGATCTATAGTACGTTGCAGCCCTTGAGGAAATGGTTGAATATTAGTCGCTAAAGCATTTTTGGAGGGCAAGGGAGTACAAAGTGGGGAAGAAATGGTTTGTGCCAGAATGTTTTGGCAGCTTTCTAATCCACGGGAAATGCCATTTGTTCTGCTGCTGATGGAAAGAGTACAAAGCAGTACATACACGGTCATTTTGTGCTTGGCCCAAGAAAGGCAGGAAACGCCCCTTTTCTTTTATGCTGAAACCCACAGTGCTGTTAAAGCAGGCTGTATTTCACATGCTCGTTCGTGGGGGGGTTGGTGCTGCCTTTATTTAGAATGTTTAAAAGATTGCCCAAGGGAGAAAAGTAACGGGTAGAAATGCTTAGTTACTGATTCTGAGTGTGCATTTCACTGATAATTAAGCTTCCCTTTGGCGGTGACCTTCTCACGTTTAGGTTTTACTTCTGTGTTTTACGTTTTCTTTGTTGTGTTTCAATGTATAAAAATTTCATCTTGTTATAGGTGTAATGTATTATGGTCTTCCCCTGGCGGAAACTGAAGAATCCTGGCGGTGTTAGCTTATAAAATAACATGTCTTTCTGTAGGCGCTGGTATTTTCTCTTACAGCTCTCACACTCCCTCCTGTTAGAAAGGGACCTACGGACAGACATTTTGGAGACACAGGAACTGGGTTTTTAGAGTGCTTGTTCAGCCACGTGTCAGGCCATGCCGTGCTTGCTTGGGTGCAGGTGGTTGTCCCAGTGAAGGTTCCGTAACATTGGTCCTCATCCTGTCCCCGACAGAGTGACAGATTCTCCTCACAGCGAAAAGGACCACAGGGACCATGTCTGGCCTTTCATTTGTAATTAATTCCATAGCTGTTCACTTCATACCTACTATACCCAAAGCAGTGGATGGGATTCGGGCCCAAGTCAGTGAATGTTGTCAGGAAAACCATAAAGCCACCCAAATTTTGAATGCTGATTCTCAGCTCTTCTTTCTCTGAGTAAGCTTTTCCTTCCTGAGTCTGTTTTTCTTGGGCTTCGGGGGCCAGGGAGGGGGGGAAACGGCAGCAGCACAGCTAATACCATCATTTATCCCTCAAGTTTTTTTCTGTATTGGCATGTAAAAAATATTGCAGATGATGTGAGGAGAAAGTAGATGACTAATGAGTGCTTGCCCCTGACGCCCCGTGTCACACCAGCGTTCCGGAGCTACCAGGTTCCGAGAGGGCTCCCCTGTTGTGGTTGCTGCTGCCCACCCCGTCCTCCCAGCAGGCACCGCGGTGTTGCACTTTAATCGCTAGCGTTCGGTAATGTCTGTTACTGGCATTTACACAGATTCCAGGTAGCTGCAGTCAGCTTTGAAAATTGTTATCTTTTTTAAAAGATTTTATTTATTTATTTGATGGAGTCAGAGACAGCGAGAGCAGGAACACAAGCAGGGGGGAGTGGGAGAGGGAGAAGCAGGCTTCCCGCTGAGCAGGGAGCACGATGTGGGGCTCGATCCCAGGACCCTGGGATCACGACCTGAGCCAAAGGCAGATGCTTAACGACTGAGCCACCCAGGCGCCTCATCCTTTTTTTTTTTTTTTAAAGGAATATCTAGAGGTTTTTTTTTTTAGATTTTATTTTTTTAAGCAATCTCTACCCCCAATATAGGGCTTGAACTCACAACCCCCAGATGAAGAGTTACATGCTCTTCTGACTGAGTCAGCTGGGCGCCCCAGGAATATCTAGAATTCTTGATAGCAATTGTAGGAAGCCTAAAGACTGCATAGTGTGAACATTACATGTTTTCCCTGAAAGTTCCAAAATTGCTTGGGTTTGAGGTTAACTTTTTTGTAAGGTCCTAGAAGGCTTACTGTGCTATCTTCTCACCTGCTCCTTTAGGGGGCTCTCATGCTGGCCTCCATCCTCAGTTTCTGGTTCTCTGTCCCAAGTCCTGCTTCTGGGGCACTTACTGTGAGTATGTTTTATCTTTGCTGCCTTAGCTTGAAGGAAGGGCTCAACCTAAACCTGCTCCCCAGCTTTACAGCTGAGGCCGTTCTTTCTCTAGACGCCTCTTCTGTTGTCCCCAGACATTACTGCTGTGAAGAAGTATCACATCTTGGACCCCATGCAGGGGTTCCCTAAAGGCTCTTTGTATAGGTCCATCCCCCTGACACCCCTTAGGCCCCAGCCTCCACTAACTATTTCTTAATTCCCTTCTTGGTCTCTAGATTTTGATTGAAATTGTTATTTTGTTGGCTTCAAGTTCAGACTGTCCAGCCAGGCAGGATCCTGGAGTCAGTCAGCTTCAATTCCCTCGTTGTACATAAAAAGGAAACTGAGGGGGGCACCTGGGTGGCTCAGATGGTTAAGCATCTGCCTTCGGCTCAGGTCATGATCCCAGGGTCCTGGGATCGAGTCCCGCATCGGGCTCCCTGCTCCTTGGGAGCCTGCTTCTCCCTCTGCTTATCTCTCTCTCTCTCTCCCTCTGTCTCTCATGAATAAATCAATAAAATCTTTAAAAAATTTTTTAAAAAAAGGAAACTGAGGGGCATAGAGCCCATTTCTGTGATTCTCCACCCCCAATCTCAGGAACCCTCTCCTTGTGTCTCCTTGGCTAGAGTGCTGGGAGAGACAGGTTCATAGTCGTTTTTCCCCCTGGGATTGTTTGGAGTAAGGTCCTTCATTGAGGTTCAAGGATAAGCTGGATGACTTGCCTCATTTTATTATTAGGAGGTATTTGTGCTATAAAATGGTCCTGGCCATTTCAGTTTTAACTATGCTTATGAGAAAAATAATTATTACTTAAATGTTTAGGAATTTGAATTTAAAATTGGAAAAACTAAGAATCCTTATTAAATGTCATCAAAATGAAACATTCTTGGCAATAGGGCAGACCGTGTAGAAATTAAGTACAAGGTTGGTAAGACAGAATTGGAGAGAAGATTGGCTTAAACTGAGAAGAGTTGGCAAATCACGGTTTCTATTCTTTTGGTGTGTTCTTTGTCTGCTACCTTTATTTAAGAAAGGAGGACAAGTTAAGAAAAAAAAATGGAGGAGGAGTATACAAGCTTTATTTTGAGAATCCTGCCGCTCCCTCACCTACCAACTAGAAATCTTCTGGTTTCTGCATTAAGGGGCATGTCAAGCCCTCCCCCCACTTCACATAGGACTGTCTTCTCCATTGGGAGCTAGGAGTCACCAGTTATACTTGGGAACATAACTGAACTTCACACAAAGGGTGGGAATAGTCATGAGATCTCCCAAGGGCCCTGTAAGTTGTCAGGGAGCAGAATCTGTGCTCTCCAACAGGAAAGTCTGGACATGTTCTCTAGAGATTTTCTTTGATCTAGGTGAGTTTGGTCAGTTCCAAAAGCAGTTGAAGCAGGTGTGGAGAGCCACCTGCATTTTGAATCATTCTGCCCTTATGGAAGAGGCCCTGGACATGGCGGTGGTGGTGGTGGGTGGAGGGGGTGGGGGGGGGAGGCAGTTTTTTTGTTTATCATAATTGCAAGGCACTGCTGGTTTCTTGTGAGTGCGGGCTAGAGATAGTGAGAGTGGGCTATAACTTGTCTATACGGTGAAGCCCTGTTGCAATCAAATGTGGTCAGTCTCCTTCCACACCTCACAAGAAGCAGTGGGTGAAATTGCTCCTGCCTTAGCCCTGGAAGGGAAGAGGTTCTGCGTAATCCAGGAATTGTTGTTTGGCAACGTGTCTTGTGCTCATCAAACGGGGGTCTGAGTAATAGAATGCAGGCAATAAGAATTTCCTAGGTGTGAAAACAGTGTTTCCTTGGTAATTCCAAGAAGAGTATTTTGTGGGTGAAGGCTATGACTGAATTATAATAATATTTTATAGTGTCATCTACTTGTAGAAGTCCTCTGTTATTAATGATGAACTGAATACAGGTATTTATTTTTAAAATTAAATTCAGTTACTTAACATATAATGTATTATTAGTTTCAGAGGTAGAGGGTAAGTGATTCATCAGTCTTATATAACATCCAGTGCTCATCACATCACATGCCCTCCTCAGTGCCCATCACCCAGTTACCCCATCCTCCTACCCCCTTCCCCTCCAGCAGCCCTCAGTTTATTTCCTATGATTAAGAGTCTCTTACGGTTTATCTCCCTCTCTGATTTCATCCCGTTTTATTTTTCCTTCCTTACCCTATGATCCTCTGTCTCGTTTCCTAAATTCCACATATGAGTGAGATCGTATGATAATTGCCTTTTTCTGACTGATTTATTTCGCTTAGCATAATACCCTCTAGTTCCATCCACGTTGTTGCAAATGGCAAGATCCCGTTCTTTTTGATGGCTGAGTAATAGAATACAGGTATTTAGAAATAAGAACAAAACCTTCCCCATTCTGTGCTCTCTGATGATGGAAGTAAAGCGGCAGAGGTGCCAGAATCAAAGCTTTGTTTTTCTTGAAACCATTTTATTCCAAAGAATTTACAAAAGTGCAGTATGTATTCTAACCCTTTTAAAGAAGGAATACCATCTTTTCGGTGTAAATTGCAGATAATCAGTCTCTTTCTAAAAAGTTACATTTTCCTCCGCAGAAATGATACACTATATTAAATCATAATTCACATGCAGAAAATATAGCATGCTCTTATATGCAGGAGCGAGGTGTGTGTGTTTCTTGGGTGCACCACCATTGGGAAATATCTCTAAAATTCCTCGGATGAGGCTAGAAGTCAGGAAGTGGGAGCGCTTGGGCCTCGATCAGCATCCGTCCGTACCGAACAGAAGAGAAAGTGATGCTATTGGACTTGAGTGGCCCACAAAGGAAGGCAGCTATGCTCACCACTATACCAACAACGCAGTGGCCCACAAAGGAAGCAGTGTGCTCGGATCCCAGAGGACCTTTTTGTGAGGAAGGCTTTTTATTGTTTATTTGCATTTCACTGATCTCTTCTGTCTTGGAGAAAGAGGATGAGAATGAGCAGAGAAGGCAGTGTTGCTTCTTGGGGGTTATTTAGTTGACATGAGTCTGTTAAGTCCTGCTTCTCCCGGGGCCACACCCCTGCCTGCCCCCAGGCCGGCGCCTGAAGGCACAGCGTAAGAGGTTAGGGATTGTCTTTTTCACTGGGTCCCCAGGGGCTTAGAATAGGACCTAACACATGGCAGGCTTACAGTAAATGTTTGCTAAATGAATTTATAGAGTTAGCCGGAACCCTGAGTATTGTATATATTTCTGTTTGCTTAAAATGTTCCCTTTTTCCCCCCAGAAGAAATACCTTTTTTACCCCTAGAAGCCAGATTTTATAATATTTTACCTCTGGGTATAGGGAGAATGGTGGGAAGGATTTTTTTTTTTTTTTAATCACACTGATAGCTAGTCTGTTGAATTTCCAAACAGAAAACTTTGTTCTGCCAAAGGCTGATTATCACAGTAAATAACTGTGACCTTTGCTTTTCATGCCCTTGCTTTTTTTTTTTTTAATGCTATCTCTGGGTTCTTTTGTCCGGTTTTGATCCCTTCTAAGTGATTCTATTCAAAAGTTGTGGAAAGATAAAAGGAAAATCAGAAAATCCTTTTGGCTTGGTGTTTGAGGGAGGAGAGGTGAAAACCAAGATAATAGGACCAAAAGATGCCTTACTTCTTTATCGACAAACTTCTCTTTGCTTAAAATCATCTAATGCAATCCATGTGAAAAGACATCAACTGTAGAATTGGTCAGTCAGTTTTGGAGCAAAGCGGGATATTGGAATAGACGAGTTCTTTTTAAGGAGCCAGGACTGGAGGGTGCCGTGAGCCTCTCACGACAGCACTGGCCGGGCGGCTCTCCCCTTCCTCTATTGGGATATAACGTGTGTGTTTGTTTCTTAGCTTGACATCGACGACAAGGTCAAGTTCTGATGCTCTGCAGGGGCGATACGCAGCTCCTGAACTGGAAGTAAGTTCATTTCCTTCCCTGGTCCTGCTTCATCTCAGAAGGCCCATTTTTCAGGAAGCCTCTTTCTGTGTGTTTGCATCTTTACTGATCTGCATCCCATTTTTCTCCCCAGGAAAGAATACAGTTTTTATACAGAAAAGACAATGTCTCGTAGATACGATGGGATTAAAATGAATCTTTGATTTTCCTCCAACAAAATTAGCCTCTAGTGTGGCATTGCTGCCCATCTCCCACCCGATGCCTGGGTAGCTTTGTCGGGCTGCTCTCTGCGATTTCCTTCTGTCATAATGGACTGTGTGTGTGTGTGTGTGTGTGTGTGTGTGTGTGTGTGTGTGTTAACTCCTAGTCCATTCTTCTGTGTAATAGCTGTTCTGGAGAAGGGAAGGAACAAGCATCTGCTCCCTGCCACACTGCTGAGCATTGTCTACACGTTAGCTTATGTAACTGCATCAGTTCCGTCAGGTGGGCATTTCACTGGTTAAGGAATTGGGAACAGTAGAGGTCCAGAGAATCAGGGTGGTTAGCAGATGCTATCGGTCAGCAGAATGTCTGTTATTTCCTTACTTGTGCAAAAGTCTTTTGCTGGGGCCCTCATGGAACATCCACCTAGGTCAGAAAAGGGCTAATCCCATGGAGGCAGCCAGGAAAAGACTCAGCCCTGACCCCAAGAATGGAAGGAACATGGGATTCGGATGATGGCTGAGACTTACTTAACAGCACTTGCTACATGCCAGGCAGTTCTAAGCACTATATTTGTGATTGCATTTCATACTCATACAAACCCAGTGAGGGCTTTATCTCCATTTTACAGAGGGGAGAGACAGAAAAGTTATTTAAACTTCTGATTAGCTGGCCTGGCCCCTGGCCCCCGGCCGTGTCCTCGTAGCCTTCCCTGGATGGAGGAGCCCTGGTGTCTGTCCAGATATGGGCACTCTTCTCTGCAGCTGGGGCTCTGGGGACGGTCTTTCCTGCACCTGACCTGGAGATAGTGAACATTATGAAGGGTTGTCAGTCTGCCAGCAGCATTCAACAGCTCTTTCTGTCCCTTCAAAAAAGGAGAAGGCTCTGCTGAGTCTGAATAGATTACTGCTTCTTACACAGAGGAGAATGGTCTCTAGAAGGCAGGCATTTGTTCTCACCACTGGCCGGGTGACCACCTGCTGAGGTTGTGCTCAATGGCTTCAATATCCCTATTGTGTAGAGTGCAAGCTCAAAGAACAGCAAGTCTCTAAGTTAGATTTAAGAGGATGCTTTCCTTCTCGTTCTAAGGAAAACGTCCCACTGTTTTCTGCTGAACTGGAGAGCCTGCAAAACGGAAGTTGGTTTGCTCTCCTTGTATCAAGTTTCACAGGATATACCTTTGAAAGAGAGAGTTAGTGGTTTCTTATGCTAAGTTAAGCTTCAGAAGAACTAGGACCCCAGAATACCCTGTCTTGAGCCCACTGAATGATTAGTGAATCTTAGACTGTGTCACTTGATCCAAGATTCTGTCACGGCCATTCCCTCTTCTAGAAGTGTCCCTGACGTAGTAGGGAAACGGGCTTGGCCTTGCGGTGTATAAATGAGATGAAGGCTCACACTCCTATGTCCTTGTCCCTGGCTCTGTGTTCTTTCTAGTAAAAGTACTGTCAGCCAGAAAGTGCCAAGGACCCAGCACTCCCCAGCTGGTCTTGCTACGTGTAATGTTTCTTACTCTGTTTACCAGAGTCTTTCTGAAATCATGTATTAATTTTTCATAATCCAGTTTTTTATTAGTTTATTGTTCTGAGTAGGTCAGAAACATGGTACAAAATTTAAAAGGTGTCAAAGACTCTTTAAAGGAAGGCATCCCCTCCATCCATCCCGGTCCCCAGCACCCCTGCCTCCGTAGAGGCAGACAGTTCAGCAGCCTGATTTCATAGGAAATGTAGGTGGGCCTCCTGCTTCCAGACCTCCTAGCTTTACCATGTCTGATTCTGCCGGCTCCACCATCTCTTAGACCTCTCATGCCTAGACCTAATTGCCTCTTGTGAACTGCACACCTTGGAGTGCCTGTCCTGCATTTATACTCCAGCTCTGTCACTAGACTGGTTTTGAACCTCAGGCCAGAATTGCTTGACCTCAGTTTCTTCAACTGCAAACAGAATAATAATCCCAGCAAGTAGAGCAAATCACCACCAAGAGTGAGCTCCACGAGAGTGGGGACCTGTCTTGTTCACCTTGCATTTCAGGTTGAATTTTCCAGAAGCAGCTGCCAAGGCAGAGTTGACCCACAGAGTATCTATTAGGGATCAACACAGGTGGAAGGAAAGGAAGGGGAAGGAGGCAAAATTGGGCCAAGGGTGAAGTTGAAGGGCACCGTAGGCTGGACAAAGCCTCTGTTGACCCCTTCGGTGCCCCAGAGCAGATATGACTCATCAGAGCAGTCACTGAGGGTCAGTGGCTGCACCTCTACACCCCTGCCGTGAGCAGTCATTCAAGGTGGGTTGCCCAAGAAGTCTGGCTCTAGGGCAGGGCAACTCTGTGACTGAGGGAAAGCCTGGGAGCTGCCGTCTGGAGGCTGCTCACAGCACTCCAAGTAGCTGAGTGAGCACTCAGTGAGCGCCATTGAAGGGGCTCTAGGTGGCTCACCTCCGTGTCTGTTTCCTCTCGCCAGCACCAGAGCACTTGGGAAGAACAGATGCTTAGTCATATCCTTTGGAAGGGGTCACATGAGTGCAGTTCCGAGCCTGGCTTCCAAGTTACGCAGAAGGCTTGGCACATCACGTGGATGGCCTTTAGTGAAGTAGAAAAGCCCCCTGACGTTGTTGGGTTTGCTTTTCCAGGTAGCCCGGTGTTGTTTTTGCTTTGGCCCCGATGGAGAAGGTAAGTAGTCAATCTCCCTTACGTGCAGCTCTAGTCTTAGGTGTTTGGGATTCACACCCAGATAACTTGAATGGTAAGAGGAAAGTTTTCTTCCAAAGCTGGTGTACTGTTGATCTACTTTTCACATTCTTCCTGAGTGATTGCTGGGTATATTTGTTTGTGTTGGTATTCTGGCCAGCAAGAACCCATTTCTGTTTTGGCTAATATGTAAGTTAAATTCTACAGTGAGATTTAGAGAAGGAGGAAGTATATTTTTCAAAGGAATGAAAATTTCTTCCCTTTAACTTCCTTTTCTTCTTGGATTGGAGCATCCCAGAGGCTTGAGAACGCTTGGCTTGCTCTCTCACTTCCATCTGAGCTTATCCTGGGTTTTCTGTTAGTAAGGGTTCTCTTCTGCTCTGTTCAAACGAATGTAATGTTAGGAAACTCATCCTGTGGAGCAGGGTCCTGGGACTGGGTGGGGGTTTTGCACAGAGGGTGTGGATAAAATTGCCTGAGGCTACAAATGGCTCTTGACATCTTTTCTACTCACCAGTCTCTGGGATTGGAATGAGTGAGTGTGACTCTGCTAACGCGGCTGGCGTGCATGTGTTCGTTCAATGAGCTTGCGCTCGCTTTGTGCCTCACAGACACTGAAGAACAGCAGAATGTGAAGGAGGGACCACGGGTCATTTATGATGAGAAGAGAGGCACTGTCTATAGCTACTCCTATTTCCACTTCGTGTTCTTTTTGGCTTCCCTCTATGTGATGATGACCGTCACCAGCTGGTTCAAGTGAGTGGCCCGTTATCTTACACATTTTAGAAGGGATAGTCTTTAGAAAATCAAGTTAAGTCCTAGTCTTTAAGTGCTGAGACCCACACTGAGTCACAGATCCAGTCTCCCGGAGTCAGCTAAACTCTTCTCCAAGTCCTGCTGTGCTCATCTACACAGAAACAGTCCTGGGGTCTCAACAGTCTGCGGGCATGCTTTTAACCCTGGGAATTGCTGATGCTCATGCCCCACAACGGGGGCTAAGGTGGCGTGTGTCCCCTCATTCCTTTTCTGTGCATTTACAAACCTGTGCAATTTTTAAAATATAAATATGATTACACGTGTTTCCCCTTGAGATTTTTTTGCTTTGTTTTGTTTTTTAAAGTTGGCAATACATGATGGATCTAACTTTCCCTGTCACTACAAAGAAATTCTCTTTTTAATTCTTTTTGGATCATTTTTCACTGATCTGAAGTTTTGGTTGGATCATAATTTGTTATAACTCAGAATACACATGGGATAGACATTTAGGCTCATTGTGCTATCCGTTCATGCAGCAACTATTTGAGTGGCTTCAATGTGCTGCACTGTTAGAAATGGCAGGCTTATAATCTAACGGAGGAGACAGACCATGATCCAAATGCGGTGTGGCAGATAGTGCTGTTAGGGAGAAAAATGAGGAAAAGGAATGAGGAGTACCAGGTGGGGTTTAGGGATGGTGGGGCCAGCAGAAGGCTTCACTGGGGAGATTTTCCCAGAACATCCTAAGGGAAAAGAGAGGAGGGAGCTTCTAATGTATCCCCAGTGCATCTAATGCTTTGGTAATTCCCGGAAAGTTTTGGCGTGGGAAGCTTAAAAGATGGAGGGAGCTATAATTAATAAGGCAGAAAATAACAGATATTGTCAAGAATGTGGGAAAAATTTAGAACCCTTTTACAAAAACTCCTGCTAGGATCGTAAACATGGTGCAACCACTTTGGAAAACACTTCGGCAGTTCCTCAGAATGTTAAACACAGAGTTATGGTATGACCTGGCTGTACTAATACTAGGTATATGCCCAACAGGGCAAAAAAGTATGGCCACACAAAAACTTTTACACATATCACTTAAGCAGCATCACTTATCACAGCCAAAAAGTAGAAACTACCCAAATGTCTATCAGTTGATGAATGGATAAACAAAGCATGGTATCTCCACGCAGTAGAATATCACTCAGCAATAAAAAGGAATCAAGTATTGATCCATGCTACCACATGAACAAACCTTAAACATCGGTCACAAGAGGCTACATGATTCCATTTATATGAAATGTCTGGAATAGGCAAATCCAGAGAGACAGAAAGTAGATTAGTGAATCCCAGGGGCTGGGAGGAGGTGGGGAAATGGTGTACACTTTAAATGGTGTGAGTTGTATCTGAATTGAGCCTTTAGGAAAAACAGAAAGGCTGGAGGGGATGGGAGCAGGGAGACCCCTTCTGGAAGAGATATCTCACTGCCTTGTTCTCTTCCAGCTCTGACCACAGTTGTCTCTCCTTTCCACAGCTATGAAAGTGCCAACATCGAAACCTTCTTCAGTGGAAGCTGGTCCATCTTCTGGGTCAAGATGGCGTCCTGCTGGATGTGTGTGCTGTTATACCTGGGGACCCTGGTCGCTCCCCTCTGCTGTCCCTCTCGCCAGTTCTCTGTGTGAGGAGGATCTGAGCAGGCCTGCAGGCTGGAAGTGACATCCTTTGAACAAGTGTCCCAGGGGTCTGAGCCGTGACTGGTGCTTCGTGAAAAGCTGGCATCCTCTGGCTGGTTTGAGTGGGTCTGAAAAAGGCTTTCAGAAAGAAAAAAAATCACCTGATTTGGCTGTTTAATTCGGAAAATCAAAAAGAAATAACCATTTTATTCCAAAAGAATTGAAATTTTCAACCAAGCTGATCCTGAGTGATATTTTGTGTGAGTCTCCGCTCTAAAAACTGGAAGAGAAATTAGGCTAGTATTTTCCTTCTGTACTTTTTTTCACCAAAACAGAGTTTGGGGCATGACAGGGATAAATCTGACCTTGTCATTCTTATCCTTGGAATAGAAAAACTTGCCAAAATCTTGAACCCTCAGCCCCTGACGGAATGCAGACCCGTCTCCCACACCTCGACCGGGAGCTTCATCTGCAGTGGGCTCTGCAGAGAGCACTCATCCTGCAGGCTCCTTGCTCTCAGCTACTTGGTATTTATAGGGTCCAGGAGGAAGCACCTGCTTTTAACTCCACCCTTGTGCTGTTTCCTCCTGGCCTCCAGACGTTTCCCTTTGAAGCTGTGATGCTGGGAATCACAACTTCACACTCTGCCCTGGCCCTTCTCAGAGGTCCCCTCATCCTTTCTGGGCTCAACGTCTTTGCCCTAATGTGAAAAAGCACAATTTGCCGTCACTACCGTGTGGTGCCCCCACTATGCTATTCCTTCCTGATCCAAGTTCCTGCAATAATTATGACTCCTATTTGTGGTGTTAGTCACATGATTATAGAACAATATCCATGTTTTCTTTGCCTGAACGATGGAGGGCTATCGTTCTTACTTGTTTGTATTATTAATATTAATAATACTCTAGGACCTTACCTTGACTGAAGCCCGCTGCACCTCTCTTTCAGTTATGAAAGTCAGCCGGTTTTCTCTTCCACCTAGAGGCCTTTGCAATTGTAAAAGCAAAAGGGCTCTTGTTTCCTGGATCTGGAAGGTGCATGATAATATTCACTGTGGTTTTTTGGAGTAGATTTGCTGAGGTGAGGATTCCAGGCAGCACCTCAAACTGGGCTGACCAGATAAGGCCTATCTCGTATAAGTTGTAGAAGTGGCCAAATATACGTAGAAGAAACGGTGGGGGGTGAGGGGGTGGGGAGGGGGGTATGTAATTAAGCCATAAGCAACATCCACGGAGATTTCCAAAAATACGAACTTGTAAAGTAATACTCATAAGAGATTTGACTTTAGGCAGCTGCCCAAGAAGATATCCGTGTTCAGTGTTGATGTCCGTCCTCAGTCAGGGAAGAGTTTTCTTGGTGGAAAGTGGAAAGTCCATTAGGGACCCCAGTGGAGACACGGTGGGGATGCTCCCAGGAATGTCTCGTGCAGGGTGAAAAGGGTCCTCTTGAGCTCCCTGGCACAGAGGGTCTGAGAATGGAGACACTTGGCCTGTACTTTGTGTGTCCTGCCAAGTTGGGCAGAATCGGGTCCCTGTGTGCCAAAATGCTGGTGTGGGGAATTAGTCCAATTCTTCATTTTTGCTCTTTTGCCCTCCTCCCAGGAACACAAGCGGGAAAACAAATTCAGTGAATGAATTCCTCTAGAATCTTGCCTTATTTATGTTTGAGGTTCGTTTTTAAAGGCAGTTGTGTATGGGTGAGAGCCTTGTTTTTTGCAAACTTCATCCAATTTCTTATTTTAGGCCAGAAGCTCTTTGAGCTTGGCGGTTGAAAGGTCTCTGGTGTCACAAAATGGAAAGCTGCCACGTGCAGCCCCTGTTAAGCCAGTGGGCCTGGGAGCTCTGTGGGCCGGGGACAGGTTGAGGGAATGGGTTGTGTGTGGGACAGCCCCCAGGCAGGAGCTGCGACAGTGGCTGCTGCCGTGACACAGGGCTCTGGGTAAGCTGAGACTGGCTTTAGGAAAGACCACGAGCAGAGTCCCATCAAGAGCTGGGATGCTAGTTTCATTGTGTTTTCTTCCTGCCAGGGTCTAGCTGGTTTGGGCAGCCAGCTATGTGACTTTAGAACTGGCCCTTAGGGCAGGTCACGGTCCAGCTGACAAGGCTCTTGTTCCTTGGCTGGCCTTTGTTGGCGGGCTTCCCCTGCAGAAAGAAGCTCAGGGAAACAGAAAGGAAAGCATTCATTGCCAGTGGCAGGGCCCTCAGCACTTCCTTCTTTAGCTGGCCCAGCCAACCCATGTTTTGGAGCTGCTTAAAATTTGGTTTGTGGCCCAAAGTTCTTCTTGAAGTTTAGTCTGACACGAGAGGCAGAGTTGCAGTCACTCTGATTTTTAGTCTCAACTGAGAGTCGAAGCAAGTTTATCTGAATGATGGGAGAGATGTGGATATATCCTAAGGATATATATATCCTTAGGATATATATAAATAAGGTAACTTTAATGAGGGCATATAAATAAGGTAACTTTAATGATTATTCATTGTCATAACAATACTCAGGTGATGAGTCAATGTTTGTGGGTGTAAAGAACCCACATTCTTGTGCTGTTGTGATTTAAGAAACTGGAAAAATTGTGCCAATTGCTTTGAGTTGCTGTAATGAAGGTGTTCATTGGATACATTCACTGATCTCTTTTTAAAATAATTTTGCTTCCTACAACTTTTTGTACATGATTTTAAAAAGTACATTCCCAGTAGCTGCTGGTCAGACTCCTTTAGCGATACAAGAGGGAGAAGTTTTTTAAAAAGCTCTATGTGTATGTTTCTTCTGTGCTATTCCTTCGATGTGGAAATTTTTTCCCTTCTCGTTTTCAGGAGTAGAAACACTAGGTGGGGGAAGGGATTCTTCTGGGAATGTTGCTGTATACCTAGATGGGTCATCTGACTGAAGGCTGGAGACTTTTCTGTCAAAAGCTTTTGGGAAACCCAACTTGGTCCTTGTTGGGTTGAGTTTCTGTAATATTTGTTAGTTGGTTTTGCTTTTGTCCTCTCAGTTTCTTGGGGAATCGCCTGAAAGAATTGTTCCCCAGAGGTGTTTGGAGCTCTTTGGTGGAGTAGAAGGACTGTATGCATGTGGACTGTTGGAAGGTGGGGTTACTGGAGATTTGGGGTTCTGGTGCCCATCAGGAATGGTCAGCAGTTGGGCCCCCACACCTCATTTTTTAAATTTCCAGTTCCTCAGAGGATCCTACATTCTGGATGACCTTCGTGTAGTGCTAATCCCCACCCTCACCCCCATATTGTCCCCCTCTGCCTATTTAAGATTATGTACTTATTTAATTTTAGCCGGAAGTTTATCACCATTGGTGCTTCATGTTACCCTGCAAAGGGAACTCCAGAGCCTTTGTTTAAGCCTCCTTGGCTTTTTTTCTCCTTTGACTGCCTTTCTAAATAGCATTTCATTTTGGCGTACATTTGTGTTCTACTCTTGGAAGTGAAAGCAGTTTTAATCTATAACAAAGAAGGGTGTGACCTTGGGCTAAGACCCTGCCTGTCCAAAGAGAACGCTGGGTCCTCCTTAATCAGGGACAGTGCAGTAGTCACTCAGCTCATGGAATTCTCTGTAGGAGACTCTCCTAATAGAACTAACTCCCTCTGCTTTGTTCTTAAGGCCACCATGTTTCCTGCCATCTTTAAAATGCTTGTAAAGCCTCAGACACGTTCATCTAGTGTTGCATTTCAGGCAGAGATGGGCTCGCTCGTGTTGGACTTACGTTACAGAGCTAGAGAGCTGTTACGTAGATCTTTCAAACTAATGCTGGTCATTCTAAAGATCTTTATCTCTTTAAAATTTTCTTCCTCAGTAAATCACTTGGAGAGGCATTCATTTTGAAAGGGGGAAATATTTGGCTTTTACCAAAGAGGGTTTTTTGTTATTAAGCAAAATTCCTTCAGAAAAACTTAATTGGGTAAGGATAGATTAAAAACGCATATGTCCAAATCCACTTCTGTAGGAGTTCAGTCATATTTATGTGAGTAAAATGATGAAGAACTCTTTAAGGTAATCCTCTGGGTGAAGGATCCTGGGAAATTCTCTCAGGTAAAGAAAGCTTGCAACAGATGTGTAATATATGTCTTGAGAGTTATTTATAAGAAATTTAAGAGGATTGTTTTGCTTTCCTATATTAAAGATTTAAGTTCTTTTTTTACTTTGCAAAAAAAATTCTACGAAAAGTTTTATAATTGTAACATTGTTAATTTTTAAAACTTTTCCAAAACAATTAGCTGTAGCCGGATTATGTGGTTATGTTTTGCTCTACTTAGAATTTGAAATGTAATATGTGTGGTAAATTTACTGTTGGAAATTTATAATAGTCTTGGATATGGTTAGAGTTTTGTTAACTTTTTTAAAAATTATTTTCTTCCCTCTAGTCACAAAGGCAACTGTGGGTTTATATTTGTTTTTTGAATGCTAATTTTTCTATGAAGCATCTGAAGTTGACCAGTCTTTTCCTATGTAGAAAACTCAAAACTTGTTAACTCTGTACTTTAATAAAATTTAAAATGGAAAACTATGTCGTTGTTGTTGTTTTGGTTTTTGTGTTTTTTGTAATTAAACATCCTCCATGTGGTGTTTTCTGAAGATGTTGCCTTCAGATGTTAATCACCATTCTCTGAAGCTCATAGAACCTTTTCTGATTCTTGATAATGAAAATATAAACATGAAAACCCAAATTTTTTGTTTCCTTCACCCCCCTCCCAAAAGCTTTTGTGGACTGCTTCCTTTTTCCTATTCTTAGGCTAGTGCCACACTATCTTAAATATGAGAATTAGAGTGTCTCTAAGGGAGGTAGTAGAAGTCTTCCAACATGGGCCACCTTTTTCAAGATACGGCTTTCCTAGACCTTTTATATTTTCCTTGAAAATTTAGGCTTGAGTGGGATGGCATTGTGTCATTAGACTAATTTGGGGAGAATTGACATTATAACAACATTAAGTCTTCTGATCTAGCATTATTTTTCATTCATGTAGGTTTTTAAAATTTTCTTTAGTAGCATGGTATAGTATTTCTATTTTTATTAAAATGTCTTCGTGTGAAATTTAATCTTTTTTTTAAAAAGATTTTATTTATTTGTCAGAGAGAGAGTGAGCACAAGCAGGGAGAGCAGAGCGGCAGGCCGAGCAGGCAGAGGGAGAAGCAGGCTCCCCGCTGAGCAGGGAGTCTAACACAGGACTCGATCCCAGGACCCCTAATCATGACCTGAGCTGAAGGCAGACGCTTAACCGACTGAGCCACCCAGGCATCCCATAAATTTAATCTTGATCCTGCTAGTCCTTTTATTAATGTGAGATTAGTTTCGTGAGTGTTTAAATTATGCATGTCACATAATATAGAAGTGACCACCTTGGGGCACCTGGGTGGCTCAGATGGTTAAGCATCGGCCTTTGGCTTGGGTCATGATCCCAGGGTCCTGGGATTGAGCCCCACATCCGGCTCCTGGCTCAGCGGGGAGCCTGCTTCTCCCTCTGCCTCTCCCCCTGCTCATGCTCTCTCTCTCTCTATCTCTGTGTCTCAAATGAATAAATAAAATCTTTTTTTTAATTTTTTAATTTTTATTTATTTGATAGAACGAGAGAGAGAACACATGAGACGGGGGAGGGTCAGAGGGAGAAGTAGACTCCCCGCCGAGCAGGGAGCCCGATGCGGGACTCGATCCCAGGACTCCAGGATCATGACCTGAGCCGAAGACGGTCATTTAACCAACTGAGCCACCCAGGTGCCCTGAATAAATAAAATCTTTAAAAAAAAAAGTGACCACCTTAACCATACCAAAGTATATAGTCAATAGTGTTTTTTTTTTTTTAAAAGATTTTATTTATTTATTTGACAGAGACATAGCGAGAGAGGGAACACAAGCAGGGCGAGTGGGAGAGGGAGAAGCAGGCTTCCCACAGAGCGGGGAGCCCAATGCGGGGCTTGATCTCAGGACCCTGGGATCATGACCTGAGCCGAAGGCAGACACTTAACAACTGAGCCACCCAGGTGCCCCTGTGGTCAGTAGTGTTAAGGACATCCATACTGTTGTGCAACCAACCTCCAGAACTCTTCCCATCTTGCAAAGCTGAAGCTCTGTACCCATTAAACAGCTTCCCACCAGCCCCTGACTTTCCACCACTATTCTACTTTCTTTCTCTATGAATTTGCCATTTGCTTCATTTCCCCCCATCTGCTTCTTCC